ATAGCGCGGCATATTGAGATAGCATCGTTCAGTCCGAGATCGGGATTTTGTAAGAGTTTCTCCTGCATTCGGGAATCACGCACTCCTAACACAATTCGGTCTCTTATCAGCACATCTTTTTCCTTGAAGTCACAAGTTGACGATAAATATCTTAAGGCAGTCATAAACTGATCGACCGATTCTCCAGGAAGTTGGTCTCTTTTAAAAAATTTATAGTGCTCGAACACCAAGTTTCTGATAGGGTTACAGTATCGATCAAATTTTCCCATGACCACGTTCATCAGTTTAGTTTTGTCTTCAGTTTCTGAATATTCAAAGGTGTTATATATTTGAATACCTTCAGCTCCCAACAAATTTAATGAAATAGCAATTTTGACTTCATCCGCTTTGGCGCTTCTTTCACTCGCCATCAGATAGACTTCGAATTGTTGCTTCCATAAGCGCCAATTTGACGCAATCTCACCCCGGAAGGTGAATTCCTCAGGTGTTCTAGATTGTTCTGCCATTTTGTCAGAACCCGAGTCGAGATCTTTTCACACAGTCTATTAACAGACTCGCAAATTATCAACTATATGGTGTTCAGTTTAATTTGCTTCTCACTGTTCGACATTCACAATGGAATTTTTACTTTTCGGGAAAGTAACGAGTTCTTTCTATATGTACGATATCAGCACACTTATTATTCCGCCAATTTCTCCGAGCACAACAAAAACAACAACTGTGGGTGTCCACACGTTTTTACAACCAGTAGCCGGTTTTTTCGCTGTCCGAATTGCCGGTAAGGTTTCACGCGTATTTCAAATAACCTAAGTGCACTTTTCCGCTGCCACCATATAATGTTTTAGATATGATCAGAAACATTTAAATAGAATACTCGTTAGTTCTTCACTGTAGATTATTTATTGATACCACTTAAACAATTGTTTACAATCCTTTCAGAGGGGACGCGACATGTGTTCGATCGTACCAAAAATATACTGACCATTGCGGCGTTGCCAAACATCTGATAGGTAGCAGATGTTAAATACATCACAGTGTTGAAATAACAAACTCTGAAGATTGCTTTTGTGCTGACTGTGCTTACGACGGCAAACAAAATAAAATATCACTCAATAAAAGTGATGCCAACAATCATAATGTATCACCTGGTGAACTGAGCTTCAGTGATGTATGTGGACCAATAATGGCTGTACCGTCTGTCCAAGGTGCAAGATACTTCATACTTTTCAGCTCCTCAGGATCGTATTGTATATTTTATCAAGCACAAGTTGCTTCAGAATATTTAAAAAAATATGGCAATAGTAGAGGGACTATGTGACTACCAGGGCAAGCCAATCAGAGACCAGCATTTGGTTGGAGGCCACGCCCACTAAAAACCAGCGCGAAATTCAAATTATTCATACGTCGTCACGTCGCCATCGTGAATAAATAAATTAAAAAAAGCTGTCACCGCTGGGAAATTGAACCAGGGACCTTTGCATTATGAGGCAGCGTATATACGCACTGTGGTATTCCGACCTCCGTGATATTTCAATTATTTTAATGCTATTCAAACGGGATATCCATCGCTGGCGCACGCTTATCTTTGCAACGGATCTATCGAGGTAGAGTGAAGCGAGAGATGCATCCCAGAGATAAGAAACTTCGAGTTGAAAATAATATCCATCGCTGGCGCGCGCTTATCTTTGGAACGGATCTATCGAGGTAAAGCGAAGCGAGAGATGCATTCCAGAGATAATAATATCCATCGCTGGCGCGCGCTTATCTTTGGAACGGATCTATCGAGGTAAAGCGAAGCGAGAGATGCATTCCAGAGATAAGAAACTTCGAGTCGAAAATAATATCCATCGCTGGCGCGCGCCTATCTCTACACGGGTGCAGCGACAGCAAATTTCACAATCAACAGCATAACAGATAAGGTTGGAGGTTATCAAAGCCACAAAAAACCCAACAGCAAATTTCACAATCAGCAGCATAACAGGAAACGTTGAAGGTTATCGAAACTACAAAAAACCCAACAATTTCACAATCAGCAGCATAACAGGAAATGTTGGAGGTTATCAAAACTATTAAAAACCCAACTAGTCGCATAAACAAAATACGTGATCAGAATGACGCAAGAAATTATCGCTATCAGCAGTCGTTCCAGATGGGTTTTTCCAGAACATCCGCGTCTACTATCAGCAAGTCACGAGGTAACTCCGCCAGCGTATAAAAGCGATGACGCCGCACAACATCATTCACACTTGAGTCTACACTTGTCAACGTCTACTATCTTGACCAACTCCTTCATATAATACAGTTTGTGTGTGTGTTTGTGCATCAATAGCTCTAATAGTAAGTACCTCTTTTTCATCAAAGTGCTCATTTATATTCTCAATCCTATATTATCTGACTTTTTTATTCCATTTTGAGTTTCTTAGTTTTATTTTGAGTTTCATTGCAAATTATTCATTCAGTGCCCATTCCTTTCCCGAATTTCATATTATCGGCCCCTTTCAATTTATTTTGAAAATAATACAACCTAGTGCTCATTCAGCATCAACCTTTTTCATTCCAAGTTTTTTCGAGAGACAATTCAATGAAAGTGTAAATGATCAATCGCAGATTGATTTCATTTCTAGTTTTATCGAAAATAATCCATCCTAGTATCTAGCTCATCATGAATTTGTTGGACTGCTGATGTTTTTTGTCCTTTTTCTTCCCACCAGATGGATCTTACTCAAATCAACGCAGCTCCTCTGATTGCTCCAAAACAACAGAAACTAAGCGTGAAGTTGGTGGATCTTCCCCTAGGACAACCCCATAACATCCTAACAGCAAAAGTAGTCAATACGAAATTCGGACAGACCATACTTCTAGAACTAGAAGAATTTGTCGTCTTCCTACCGAACCGCGTAACGAACGTCTATTCGTCCCACATTGAGCATTTCAACACCGGGAAATATTCCTTGGTATTCAGAGGGAAGGTGGAGACTGGAAAGGCACTACCGGCAGCTTCATTTGAAATTTTGGAGAATTAAAGTGAGTTACATTTTTTTGTGGGTAAAATATTATCAATACAACAATGGAAAACATTAATAAAACCCTAACCAAAATCGACGAAACACTTTTACTGATCAAGAACAATTATTCTAAACCATTGGCACTTGTTGTATTGAAATCAATCCGTTCACACATACGGAAATGTGTTTCAGCAATGAAAAGAAATACTTTTTCGATTGGTTTGAAGCGTAAAATTCCGACTAAGATCGGGGAACTGAAACGGATGAGATTTTTCATCAAAACTATGAATAGAGGACATGTTGGCTCCGGCCTGAAGCCCTATATTCGTTGGATTGATGTGAATTCAATCTTCGCGTCAAGAGTGCAGACCGGTCTTATTCTGAATTTGAGACATAAGGAGATTATCGAGTTTTTGGAGGATTCATTTAGATTGGTAAATAAGAGAATTTCAAAAAATTTGGGGCGCTTTTCAATGCTAAAAGTCAACTTTACATTTTCCGGTGACTTCATTAAACAGTCAAATAATGGGGAATTGGTTGACCGCAAACATTTTTGTACTCCCAATGCCATCGTGGACGCAGGAACGGACCTAGCCGATTGGTTCAAAATCAATGTGCTAGATGTGATCCTTAATAAACTTAGCGAATTTGCCGAGAAGAATAGCGGGTGGGCCTTGAGCGAAATTATTTCTCTGGAGGTTGCCATAAATAAATATGAAATGGGCAATGGCTCATCATACATCAAATTACCAGAGCAGATTGAGAAAAAGCAGGCTTGCATTAACGTTCAAAATGATGATGCGGCTTGCTTCTATTGGAGCATAGTCAGTTGTTTGCACCCTATTAAAGAAAGTTCGAAAAGAGTTAATAATTATCCTCACTATTCACAAGTTTTGAACATCAAAGGATTAGACATACCAATGAAACTGCCCCAAATCACAAAATTTGAAAAAATGAATGATATTTCGATTAATGTTTATGCGCTAGAGTTGACAGAAGTCAACGAACGAACATTTTACACTGTCGTACCCACCAGACTGACTAAACATGAATGTAATCGACACGTTAATTTGCTATTAATTCAAGACAAATATTTCCCAAAATTGAATGACTATGAAGCTCCTCCCGATAATGATAGTGTTGAGGAAAACGTTAACGTAAAATATCACTATGTCTGGATTAAGGACCTTTCACGACTAGTATCAAGTCAACTCAACAAAAATCGTAGTAAGAAATTTATTTGCGATCGGTGCCTCAACTATTACCATTGCCAGGAGAAGCTTGATAATCATGCTGCTCTATGTGAGAAAATTAATAATGAGAAAATTTCATTCCCCAAGTATGATTTTGTAGAATTCAAGAACCATGTGTATAAGCAGACATGTCCTTTCATCATTTATGCTGATTTCGAATCGCAGTTGGAGAAATGTAATTCCAAAATTTCAAAAACCACTTCAAAGTATCAACATCATAAAGCATACAGTGCTGGGTACTATTTTGAATGTTCTTTCGATGACTCGCTGTCATTTTATCGTAGTCATAGGGGTGGAGATTGCATGGACTGGTTTGCCTGCGAAATGTCTAAAATTGCCAAATTTGTCGAATCCAAATTGAAAAATATCGTTCCAATGGTAGTTAAACCAGCTAGTACCAGTGGCGCAACCATCTGCCACATTTGCGAAGAGAAATTCAAGGCAAAAGACGTTATCGTACGTGACCACGACCATTTTACTGGCGCATTCAGAGGCTTCGCACACCAGGCTCCCTGTAATCTCAACTTTAGGAAACTGTTCGTTGTTCCCATTACGTTCCACAACCTCTCAGGATATGATTCGCATTTTATAGTCAGAGACATTTCCAAGCGGGGACGTGTGAGCGTACTCCCGGTTAATCGCGAAAAATACATTTCCTTTACACAACATGATGATGAAACAAGCATAAAATTCCGATTCATCGACTCTTTCCGCTGTTTGGGAACCAGTCTCGATGCTTTAGTGTCAACGTTGAAAGTCGATGATTTGAAAATTCTAAAGAAGGAATTCAGCGACGTGAATGAGCCGAAATTTGCATTGTTGACACGAAAAGGAGTATTCCCATATGATTATGTCAATAGTGTGGAAAGATTGGATGAATCCAAGTTGCCAAGCATTCAAAATTTCTACAACAAATTGAACGATACAAATATTTCGGACGACGATTACGCGCACGCGCAAAAAGTTTGGGAATCTTTCGATCTGAAATCAATGGGAGAATATAGCGACCTATATATGCGGACCGATATTCTTCTTCTTGCCGACGTCATGGAAAATTTCCGTGCGTCATCCCTCAAGACCTATGGCCTCGATCCTGCATGGTATTACACAATGCCCTGCTATACTTGGGATTGCATGCTCAAGTATACTGGGTGTAAGCTGCAAATCATCAAAGACATCGACATGGTGATGTTTGTGGAGCAGGCGATAAGAGGAGGAGTATCGGTTTGTTGCAATAGGTATAGCGAAGCAAACAATAAGTACCAGAAAAATGACGATCCAAAGAAGCCGTCAAAGTACCTTCTTTATCTCGATGTAAATAACCTTTATGGAAAAGCAATGAGTGAACCCCTCCCTTATGGGGGCTTTACATGGGTAGAAAATGTTGACATTGATGTAACCCAAATTCCTGACAACAGTCCAGAAGGCTATATTCTCCAAGTTGATTTGGAGTATCCTGAGAGGTTGCATGACCTACACAAGGACCTACCATTTTGTCCCGAACACCGCACACCACCAAATTCAAAATTATCCAAATCAATGACCACACTCCACGATAAAAAACAATATACTTTACATTATCGAAATTTGAAGCAGGCATTAGAACACGGTCTGAAATTGACCAAAATCCATAAAGTATTGAAATTTAAGCAAGCCCCGTGGCTTAAGTCCTACATTGCGTTGAATACGCGATTGAGGACCTTGGCCACTAGTGACTTTGAAAGAGACTTGCGAAAATTGATGAACAATGCGGTGTTTGGGAAAACAATGGAAAATATCCGTAATCACCGCGTTGTGAAATTGGTACAAAAATATGAAGGCCGTTATGGTGCTAAAAATTTAATTTCCAGTCCTAGATTTCAAAATCGAACAGTTTTCGATGAAAACCTCATGGCTATCGAACTGAAAAAGTCGGAGTTGATTTTCAACAAGCCCCTATACATTGGTATGGCTATTCTTGATTTATCGAAAATTGTCATGTTTGATTTCCACTACAATTTCATGTTACCAAAGCTTAGAGCTGACGTAAAACTCATGTATACCGATACGGACAGCTTCATCTACGAAATTGTATGTGACGATGTGTATAGTGAGGTGATTGATGCAAATATCGAGAGATTTGACACGTCTGACTATGCTCCAGACAATATTTATGGTATACCTCGAGTAAATAAAAAAGTCTTGGGCCTATTAAAGGATGAGGCCAACGGTAAGATTATTACGCATTTTGCTGGACTACGATCCAAGATGTACAGTTATGAATTGGATATAACGGATGAGGATATTGAAAAAGAGAGAAAGCGATTGGAAAGAAAGGGATTCAGTAAAGAACGACTAGATAGGGAATTGGAAAATTTCGGTATAACTAAAAGATCCGAGGGTGTCAAGAAATGTGTTGTCAAAAATAAGTTGACTTTTGATGACTATGTGAATTGTCTGACGGCTTGGAAAGAAAAGACCGTAGCCCAGCAAACGATTCGTTCCTACGCTCACGATGTTTTTTCCATCGAACAAACAAAAATTGGTCTGAGTCCCAAAGATGATAAGCGGAAACTGATTCACGATTCGTTTGACACACTTCCGTGGGGTCACTACAGTTTGACGGATTGATTTTCTCCTCAGTATTTTTGCACCAAAATTTTTAAACCAACGCTGTGTTGTATTGATGACTTATTTTCCCATGAAAAAAATGTAACTTCTTTTATTCATCCAATAATTTACCAAATGTTGTATATATGTATATTTTCAATTATTTTAGTATTATCTAATTATTCCTAATATTCATATTTTATTGTATAAACTTTTTTTCATTTTTATTATTCCTTTTTACATTTATACTATTATACACTTTTACAATTTAGAATATAGAAACAATTATTAGACTTTTCTGTGTATCCTTTTTCCACACCCTTGTCTGGATGATGTGTACGAGAAAGAGAGAGAGACGAAAAATGAAGAGAGAGAAAGGGAGAGAGAGAGAGGGAAAGAGATGTAATAAGATGTGGGTTGAAAGTATGGATGTAACAGTTGTATCATGTCTTCTGACGAATACAGACGTGCACTAGAAGAATTTGGGTTGAAAGTTAGAAAGCTCAGTGCAGACATCCAATTGTATGAGCAGAAAGTTTGTTTGTTCAAAGATTTCGAGCAATTGAGTATTTGGGACAAGGTGTTCACAGAACCAAGACGTTCAGTTGCAACGTTTCCTACATCGAGAAGAATCCAACCAACACAGCTAGATGGCGATACTGAAAGCAAGCTTCATTCTATTGACAGCTCTGAGCAACAACGTTTTCTACACAAACATACCATATGATACGAGGAATGCAGCCATATGTTTTGATATGAATCGTACACAACAATGTGATTGGAAGATGATGAAAAGAATGCATGTCAATGATAACAAACTACCTGTATATTCAATCGACATGCCTCGAGTCAATGGGACCACCATCGACTACAAATTGAAATTATCGTTTTCTGATGGCAGTGACGGCGAAACTGGGGACTGGCAGACATTTACATTGAAGAAATCACCCGCAAAATTAGATGATGATCAAGATTCTGTCAATATCATTGCAATTTTGACACATTGTTGTACACTAATATGTTCACTCATTTTAATCTCACATGTTATTCTCATTATACTGAGAAATAAGGGATGTGATGAATAAAAACTCTGAAATTACGATATATAGTTTTTTATTTAGGTATTAAATTACATAGCCAATCATATAAAGTAGGTATCGACATTGTAAAGACTGCACTGGAACCTTCCTCCGCGGAAATGATTCATGCAAGGTGGAATGGATTGTTGAAACGTTATTGGTTGCCACCAAGAATTGTCAAAATCTTCTAAATTCACAATGTGATTGGTCATCTGCAACTCTGCACATTTTCGCTGCAAGAACTGAATCTTTTGGTGTCCTCTAACGTAGATGATATTTGTTTGCTGCAGGTTGTCTTGTAGTATTCCATCGAACTCATTTAAATCCACATAACCACTGGAATATCTCAAACCATGCACATAGCGTTCCAGGTGATTTGCCATCTTTTTATCTTCTCTGCTTAAACTCGAAAATTCTACAGATGGCTTGAATAGAAAATGACTCGTCTTTTTGCCAATGCGAATGGTCATTTCCTTTGGAATGAATTCACCATCAACCGTGAACCCTTGAATGTCAACCAGTGCGATCTCCATGACTCTTCGAAGCAAACTGACGTCTGACTGATGCAGCAACACCTAACTAGGCAATATTTCGAACAATTTCGCTGAGTGGGAGATGTTCCATGATTTGATCGTGAAAGATGATGCAATAGGCTTTGGTGTCGGGAGGGAAGCCTGTAGTCGCTTCAATGTCCAACTTTATGTCAACTGTGGACGACTTTAGACCCAGATAGCGCCTCGAGCAATCGATAACAAACATTGGTCGGGATTTGAATTCGGCAAAGTTTACTAGAGAGCGCTATTCTTGACAGTTATGGTAGCTCTTGTTGAACTCTGTATAGTTGAAGTGAGCGTCAGCATATTGGTCTCGGGAAAAGTCCAATAGCATTCGTTCTTGCGGATAATAGTCGCTATTCAGAGCCAATCGTATGGATTTGATGTTGGCATTATCGAACAAGGTGACGTCTTCATGCAAATTATCGGCTTTTTTCGTTTGGAAAAATACTATAACATATCTTGGAATGTCCAATGCAGAACATGTCTTGACGGACCAGATTTCTATGGTAGATCCTTGTGTGAGTGCTGGTAGCTCGTGCAATTCCCATCAGCGAAACGGTATCATCATAGGCTCATCTGCTTTGATACGTGTCAACAGCTGCAACTTTATGTCATCGTTGGGTGTGAGATGTGGCACTTTCAAATTAATGCTTTCTATCATCATTTTAGCAATACTCTGAGTCTGAGGAGATCCTTGCAAAGCAGTATTCGCTCTCTCGACAACCTTCACACTATTGGCATCATTGCGAGCTCTCACTAAACGGATTGACTGCTTGCCCCACGTTGCCACTTGATGATCATTGAAGATGGAAAACAAATGTTTCAGTGGAATGTTCATGCTAAACGTACCATCGGTGTTGAGGATCGGAGCATTGGGATAGTGCCAGCCTGCTATGGCTAGATGACGTGAGTCTTCAGGCGTATAACACAAGTATCCTCGCACAGTACTCGTTATTCCAGGACAGTGTCCAATTCTTTTTTACATAATTCATAGGTGCAGGAATCAAAGAGATAAGCTCCAGCATTGTGGGTTAATGTACCAGTACCACCACCGGTCACCTTCAATTTACCCTTGATGGTAATGATGCCTTCAAACATGGCCAACCACGAATCTGCTTGATTAACCGTTATATCGATGACATCATTGTTCTCGAATGATTTCACATATGGATAATAGGTACGCCATTCCACTTTAGTGATGCTTTCGTCGAGTCTGGGTTTGCGGAGAACGTCGAACACGGGTGCTAACAACATTGTAGTCTTTGAGTGATTTCAGAAACAGGACACTGGATAATGTCAATGTTTTTTTGTTGCTGCTGCTGCTCTTCGAAGACACGACTGCTTTGGTGTACGGTGTCGAGAGAACTGGTGCCGATGATGTTGCTGATGATGGTATATTATCTGATTTATAGGAGTTATCAAACACTAGTACCATCTTGCGAGTTTGTTCAATTCCAATCTTATGATGATTTCTTCACCTCTAAAATTCACCTGCCTGAAATCTTGGTCTAGAATCTGGAGTGTAATGTTGGGCAATTCCCGCCTGCTGACTATAGGTAGATAGATTAGATTTCTGGCGTAACCAGGATCGACTGCAACTGCAAACTCGTAGATCGTATGTGATGGTCTGTCGTTGTAGAGAGCTCCAGCAGTAACGTTGCTATCAATGTGAATGGTTCTCACTTTGGTTATGCTGACTGGCAAATCGGAAGTGTGGACTTGTTGTGCGTTCAACAATCTATTTGAAAATCCCAAGACTTGAGCTATGCTATCCTTCGGGCGAAAATCGATGGCAAACCTTTGGCTCGAAATCTCACACTTTAGTGTATTATTGTTGGGCTTCAACGAGAATATATCATCAACGTCCTTTGCACTTGAGATGCCCAATTCTTTGCGTATGAATGTCTCAATGTCCACAATGTCGTATGAACCTTCGGGAATATCGATGATCTTTCCCGCCTTGGTCTTATCTTGCAGATAAAACTTTGATCCTTTGTCGATATTTGGTATACTGTTGTATGAATGGAATCCCAACAATGCTATTCCGTAATCAGAGTCTGGATCGAGTTGAAGTGGTGTCAAAAAGTCTATGGAGAGCGTAGATGTACGACCTTTCAACGTCACAATCAGAGACATGGCTGATGCACAATGACCGAGTTACTTGGTCTCATTAAAATGGAATTCTAAACATAGACGTCCACAATTACTTTGATTGAAATTTTGGTATTGATTGTTATTGTACAAGATTTTCGTGCTGGCACCCAAATATTGCGCCAATTCTCTGGGCGGTTTCAGATTACCATAACTATCGAAATATAAGGCTTTTTTATCATTTTTCATGTAAGCCACCCAATGAGTGCCCGCATGATTGGCGGTATCCAAATTCAATACAGCACACTCGCGATGCCATGGGCCGGTGGAAGGTAGAGTGTCCCGCATAAAAACACCTCGAAAATACGGTTTGGCATACTTTTTATCACATCTTTATCGTACATTGATTTATTGGGTAGCTTGTCTAGAAGTTTTTTGAGTTTTTTGATTTTTTCTTCAAGTACAGTCCGAATCCTCTCGATGTTTTGCGTAGAAATAGGCCGGAACCCTGCTTGCCGATAGCCTCCATTGCTTTATTATGTCTTTGATCTTCTTCGAGCTTTTGCATTTTTCGCATCAATGACTGTCTTTGCGACTGCTCCAGCTCCTCCAGCTAGAGATCCTAGGGCTCCCAAGGCGGCAAAGATTGGTATCAATGGTAGTATACCGCCACTGTGTGGAAGAGGTATGATTCTCGGTACTCTGATTCTTTTTTTACCGCCAGCCCTCTTGATTGCCATTCTGGCTGCATGGAGTGCTTTCAATGCAGATTTATTCAGACCACTTCCTGATGTTGTACTACCACCACCACCACCACCATCTGACTTTGATAGTACATTTTTTATGAATTTGATAATGTTGGATAGGGATTGCTGTGATACAAGACCCATGCCAAGTTTTCGTTTGACCTTTATTCCGGTGGTGACAAGCCAAGCAGCAGCCTTCTCTTTGAATTTAGCCTTCTTCGACTTGACTCTCTCCCACGCTCTATTTTCCAATATCCAATCAGCTTTGTGTCTGTCTTCTATTGAGGAATTTTGTGAATAGGCGATATCGTGTACTTGACACGCGTCGTCCAACGGATTGATACCGGTGTCTCCTCTTGCAAGTCTTTTATCGAGTTTGGTACCTGGACCACAAAATCTGTAGCCTGGAATGTATAATTCGATGGGAAGTTTATCGATCAGAGAATTAAGCACACCCTCTCCGTGGTAGAGCAACATGAAGACTGACGTGTAGGAAGTTCGACAACTCTGCATATACCTAATGAAATGAAAAATATATCATCACATGATGAAGATCATTCAACAAGAACGGATGTTACCCATTGTGAATTTGGATGAAATGTTGTCAACCAAACCACCAGTAAATAGTAAACATGGGAAACTGCTTCCCCATTCGTTCAGAGCAATCTTCTGCGGACCAAGCGGATGTGGAAAGACCAATGCGATGCTTTCCCTGCTGTTCAATCCAAATGGCGCGAAATTCAAGAACGTTTATGTGTATTCAAAGTCGTTGTACCAACCGAAATATCAATTGCTGCAACAAGTGTTGGATTCAGTGAAAGGTGTTGGGTATTTTCCCTTTAAAGAAAATGATGATGTCATCAGTCCATCAGAAGCGAAAAATCATTCGATATTCATTTTTGATGATGTATCATGCGACAAGCAGCAAAAAATTCGAGAATATTTTTCAATGTGTAGACACAAGGATATTGACGTAGCATACCTATGCCAGACTTTTTCTAAGATACCGAAGCAGCTGGTGCGAGACAACAGTAACCTGTTGGTGTTATTTCGACAGGATGAAATGAATTTGAAGCATGTGTTCGACGAGCATGTCTCACCAGACATGTCATTCGATCAATTTAAAGCATTGTGCTCAGAGTGTTGGAATTCCAACCAATATGGTGCGATGGTGATTGCAAAAACTTTCGATATGAATGCTGGCAGATATAGAAATGGTTTCGATAAGTTCATAAGACTGTGATCTCTGGACCATTCATCAATATGACGTCAACCAAGATGCATGATGATGTTGCTGATGCGCTGCGCAAGAAAAAAATCAACGAACTATCGAAATCAATCAGAAGAAAATATTTAGCACTAAAATTGGGCAAGTCTGAGGATGATGATGCGTTACAGAAAATATTCCAACCACTGACATCACCTTTGGAACAAATTGCCTCCGCGTCCAAGGTCATAGAAGAAAAACTCGATGGAACACTTTCAAACATCAAGCGAAGCAGAGCAAAGTCGTTGGGGTTGAAGAAGGAGAAGAAGAAGAAGGAGAAGAAGGAGGAAGAGGATGGGGAGGTGGAGAGGGAGCAATCGGATTGGAATCAAACTAATTTCATACCTATGATGGATGTGGCTGATAATGCTGGGCATACTGAAGATGATGATGAGGATGGTTATGACGATGCTGATGATGAACTTTTTGTAGATAGTGAAAATATCTCACCGGCTGCAATACATGATCAGTATCCTGCGATGGCTCAAAAATATCTGACTGAATACTGGACAAATGATGAAAATATCGATACGGTTTATGGTCCCAAATATGATCCAGTAACATCGAAATGGTCTCTCAACGGAAAATAAATGAATTTCCATCGAAGAACTGGAGATATACTTCTTGATGGCTTTCGGTTCCGTGGCACCCCAGGCCTCTATCAATTACTCTTCTATAATGATCCATCCTTTGCCAAAGATGATACGAACCCATACAAGCAAATACTCTTGCTCACCAAAGCTCATCTGAATTCTGCAGGGCGTATGAAGTCTTTCTCTAGACTCAAATACGTAGAAATTATTCGTCCAATGTTCAGATCCAATTCCAGTGGTCGTGGTTTGAAGTTGACATACAGCACAGCACCTATCGAATACATGTATTGGGATGATCCAAACGAATTGGTAGATAGATTGAAGTTGCTCATTGCATCACAGCAAGCCGGAAATACATCAAACGATAACGAGATTGTTGAACGAATTAGAAAGGCAGGCATAATAAAACATGTGTGATGATTCGGTGACATTTCCGTGTTCCGTGATACTTCCGTGACACTTCCTTGACACTTCCGTGA